GCCTTAGACGTAGAGGGAGTCCCGCTAGGTGCGGTATTTGTATCATTCGCCCGTATATTCGATCGCTAGCGAGATAGACAGACTCGTTGTCGTCGTAGCCCTCTGGTGTTGGCGGTTGGTACCCGCGGATCGCCCGGGAGGTGTTGAGCCGCGTTGATGCCTTGGCCTATCGGCGTCTTATTGATACCGATCAGCCACACCCCTGTATGCACATACTTCCGGTAACAAAAACGTAACTTGGACGGATGGACATGAAAATATAAGGCAAAAGGTAATTTCCACCCTGACTGACGCGCCGGTGTTAATGATATTCGACCCCAATTACCCGATAGAACTACATACTGACGCTAGTTCGAAGGGATACGGGGCTATTTTAATGCATAAGGTAGAAGGTAAAAATAGAGTAGTAGAATATTACAGTAAAAGAACTAGCCCTGCGAAATCCAGGTATCATTCTTATGAACTAGAGACGTTAGCAGTTGTAAACGCCGCCAAAACGCAAATTCTCTTTTCACCTGGCAGCAACAACACTTTCTATAGGTTTATTCAAGAAATTATTTATAATTTAAAACTTTAAAGCATTTTATACATAGCTGAGGTTGGTCGGGACAATTTGAATAATAAGTTGTTGTTTTCTTCAATTTCTTTTGTGCCTTTGTTCGGTCCATTCGACGTCTTTTATTTGCATGGCATGGTTACGTTCGCGTCTGGTGTTTCTTTCGGAATCATTTTTCCGAACGGCGATATTATGCTGACTCCGTCGAAGACAAGGATTTTTTGTATTTTCAGACAGCCCTAATAATTTTGCAACTAATAATTGTCTAAATATTCTAATATTTATATTTTTTTTGCTGCAATTTTGTAAACCGTTAAAGCGTTTACAACAGAAATTCCGAGAAAAAATTGAATGCCAAGTTGTATGTACCATTTCATTCCTTTCCTAATTGTGGTGGCGTAATAAACCATTTGGTCAGAATAATCTATACTACACTTTCTTTCATTATATTCAACAACAGCTAGTGGTTTCAATGTTGCGAACAAATGAAACGAAAGATCATTCTTGAGACCACCACTTGAGCGATTCGCATTACTAAAATATCGATGGGAGCACCTAGCAGAGAACGCTTGGTACTGCTGTACGCGTGGCCTAACGGAGAGTTCTTTGAAAACACGCGTGGCAGTCAACGTGTTAAATGACAGGGTTTACAGGTGATGGGCTTACCAACAAACTTCTACGTTTGAATACGTGTGAATTACTATCCGGTACCCATTATCGTAAAATACAAAGAAAAGGCAGAACTTTCTGTTTGCCCACTGTCCCGAGAGGTTTTAGATGGTCCGTTATTAATCATGTGCAACAGATAATTATGCACTTAGGTTAGGATAAAACACTCGAGAGGTTGTATGAATATTACTGGTTCGAAGGAATGACGAAATATGTTCGTGAATTTGTAGAGAACTGTCAAGTTTCTAAGTCAAATTCAGGTAAAATACAAGACAAAGTACATCCTATCAGATCAGCATACCTTGGCATACCTTGGCATACATAGTTCACATAGACATAACAGGCAAGTTAAGTAGTAAAAGGGATTTGAAAGAATATGTTATTGTAATGGTCGATGTTTTCCCTAAATTTGTATACCTGTATCATGCTCGTAAGATAGATTCTCCTAGTATCATTAAAGCGCTTAGGTCTGCTATATTTTTATTCGGCAGTCCTTGCCAGATAATAGCGGAACAAGGGAGATGTTTTACGGGTAAAGAATTTCAAGACTTCTGTCAAGGTAGACACATTAAACTTCATTTAATAGCAATCGGTGCTAGTAGAGCCGATGGACAGGTAGAGCGTATTGTGGGCACGCCGAAAAACATGTTTACAACAATAGAAACGACTGGGCGGTCATAGCAAGATGCGATTGGGGAAATACGATTGGCTTTGAATTGCACCATCAACCGTGTGACTAAATCAAGCCCATTAGAACTACTCATCGGTAGAGCAGCAAGACCATACGACTTGTTGCTACTCGATAATATCGAAGAAAGAGAAGTAGATATCTCCGATATAAGACAGCAGGCAATAGAGAATGTAGAAATTAGTCCTATATACGATAAGGATGGATTTGACAAAACTAAAGCTAAAGTAGTTAGGTTTAATCTTGGTGATTTTGTATTACGCAAAAACGAGGAAATAAAATCAAACTAAATTAGATCCAAAATTTAAGGGTCCGTTTGTAATAACAGAGATTTTGGAAGAAGATAGGTATACCTTAAAAACATTAGATGGTAAACGATCCTATAAATACAGTGACGACAGATTGAGAAAAATACCAGATAGTTGTATTCCCGCTGAGTTGGATGTCTGTAGCGATGGCGAGAACAGTGACCATGGCAATATGAGTACCCCGATCTCGGAGATCATGAGCACAATGACCATAACATCTAGCAGAGTATGTTATGGAGCTCGGTGAGGTCGTGTGATAAGCCCACACGTACCGGCAGCGACAATGTAACGGACCTCAGTGAGGCCATGGAACAAAAGCTCTGCGCGGTCGTGGGATCTAGAAAAATGAGATTCATTTGGGTGCGAAATCGAGAATGGTCCATCATACCATTACGATCAAACTGATAACCCACAAGATGCAACTACCGCTTTGAATACTAATCATAACGTTACTAATTTTTGTCTTCTTTTATTTCTTTTGTTATCAAACTTCCGAACAAAATTTGTTGTTGAATTGGACCCTTGGCTTATTTGTACATTTAGTTAAATTGTAAATAACGTTAGTTGATCGAGTCTAATGTTGCAAAAACCCAATATTTTAGTTACACCCGAGGACGTGTGATAGTCAGGATAGCCGTGTCGAAGATGAAAGGACACCGAAGTCTTTGGAATTTTGGGAAAACCCCTTAACGCTTTAATCTCGATTCTACCATAACCGTAATTAAGCGATTGTCATTCAATCCGATTGTATTTGTTCGAGATTTATAACAGTGAGCTTGGGCTCGAGGCGACAACCAGTCACCGAACGTAGGCGCGGTCCAGGGATGAACATTTTTACCTAACAGAAGTATGGAGTAATTCTATAGCTCTCCTTAAAAGAAATAGTTGTAGCGGCTCGCGACAGTAAACATTCCAACGGTTTTCGTCCCGGGGCTCGCCACACGCAGACATGTACATGTTCAGCTAGCCTGAGGACCCGTTATAAATCTTAAGATTTAGTTAACTAAAGTCCTCCAAACGGACAAATAGTCTTTGCCCTAACTACGGGAAAATACGGGAAATCTATTTTTCTCACGAACGACGCTTCCTGCTAGCAACTTTCCCTCAAGGGCGGCTAGCATCCTTCTCTAACCACGAACATGGAAATTGACCAATTAACAGCAACGTCAATTTCCCTCACTTTCCGAACGAAGTCATCTCTCCACGAATCCGATGATCTCGTGTCCTTGGATATACCCCATCATGGTTTTCCTTCGCAACATCATCGCGACGGAAAGTCATTCTCTCGTAAGGTCGTATTAGCGAGTTACTTATCGTCTTTACGATCGGTGGATATTCCACGTTTTAACAAAGAGATAGTTTAGTAATACTTGGTCCGTAGCCAAGCAAGTCGAATACGATTTGGCCTTTGGAAGAAAGCGCATTCTGTTATCCCGTTAACCGCGGATTCCTAATTGTACCCAGAATCACTGTCATTAGCTTCTCGAGTATCTCATTACCACGGTTATTTGTCAAATTCTGTAATAATCATATTTGCACTAGGTAATGTCTTCTCAATTGCATAACTACAATGTCTAATCCGAAGATTCGTTTCACGCCTCTAACCCTAATCATAATGTGAACTTGACATATATATGTCGGAGATGAAAGAACACCGGAGTCTTTGGAATTTTGATTAATCTCGCAACATTGTAACCTAGAGTCTACTATAGCTGTAATTAAACAATTGTAGTTATTCAATCCGATTGTAATTGTTCGAGAGTTGTGATAATGAGCTTGGGCTCGAGGCGACAGCCAGTCGCCGAACATAGCCGCGGTCACGGGATGAACGCTTTGTCTAACAAAGGCATGGAATAATTCTATAGCTCTCCTTAAAAAGGAAATAGTTGTAACACTCGACAGTAAACATTCCAACGGTCTCTGCCCCGTAGCTCGCCACACGCAGACCCTATTCTTCGAGTAAGATAATTGCCAGATGTCGATGCGTCTCCGCGGTACATGTTCGGCTAGCTCGAGGGCCCGTTATAAATCTTAAGATTTAGTCAACTAAAGTCCTTCAAACAGACAAACAGTCTTTGTCCCAACCACGGGAAAATAGGGGAGACCTATTTTTCAACGAGCGGCGTCTCCCACTAGCAACTTTCCCTCGAGGGCGGCTAGCATCTTTTTCTAACCACCGATATGGAGATTGACCAACTAGCAGC